GGACTTCAACTCCCAGAATTCCCCAGCCAGCATGGGGAGTTGAAGTCCACTCATCTTAAAGGGCCAAGTTTGGACAACACTGCTTTACATGAAACAGGGCTAGGGAGAGCCTTGGAGGCATCAAATCCAAACCTCCACTCGGATAGGAAATCCACAGCAAGATTAATGTCACTTATTGGTTAACTCCTCCGCATAGGTAGGTAATCTGTTCTCTTGGGCTGCACGTACCCTCCGCCATACTCCAATTTCACATCACTGAATTTTGATGGCAAAACAGCCAAATTGCAGTGGCACAATTTTATTGCTTTTTATTCAGTATTCTACCTGAGCTTTTAGTATTGTGATTTTGAATATATCTTTGCATGTCTCTGGAGAGACCTGACTCTGACTTTGTCTATCATCTTCCTTTTTAGCAATCTCCTAATTCTGGAAAAGTTTTCTCTTTCAAATCAAATGAGTCATTTGGCAATGATCCACGTACTTCTGTGTTGAACTTAAGGGCTTTGTGGTTGCTTTCAGCAATGTGTCTTCAACAAAACCCTGGAAACTACTACCATGCCTAGCTATTCTAGGACACAAATACTTACGGTATTTAGAGTCCCCCCCCCATCATTATCAGAATGTATATTTTCCCAGACTATGTGAGGGCAGTTAAGTTGCTGATTTTTTCACAGATGTTGCAACATACATACATACTCATCATGGTATTCCCTTTTGGGGAAAGCAATGTTACACAAAGCACAAACAAGGAAATTATAAGCCAAAAAAATTAAAGGCATAAGATAAGAAAAAGAAAAGGAAATATACCTAGATCTAGTTTACAGCAACTTTTCACTCTACCTGTCCGTATTTTTTTATACTTGCAAACCAGTCTTCCAACTTGTCCATCCATATACCAAATCAGACACTGTTTTTTTGTTCTTTAGATTTCTGTTAGCTATCAGTTTATCTAAATGATATCTGCAAGAGGGTATCTGTTCAGTCAAGAAATGGATTCTTTCTAAGGGATCATTTTCCTTTTTCTTAGAGACACCGCTTCCTTGAGATCCCTTTTTTACATGAATAAAGAGGAATCATCTTCCCTGAAGTAAATGCTGCTGTATCATCCCTGTAAAATTCTCTGCTTTGTCAATGTTGGTAATTGTCATTTTGTTCATCTTCATAGCAGCTCTACAACAGGATAATGTTATTCATTTCACAGACAAGGTTCTAAGGTTCATTTCGCTTGTCCCAAACTACTCCAAATTCCTAAACCTTGAAGACTGAGCTAAACTCAGTGGAGCCTCACTTTCTTTGCTCTGCAACTCATCAGAAGAAGCCCCCTGAATATAGCATGTAATCTTAGAATACAGCCCCATCAAGGCATGTGGTATGGTCGATTTTACCAGGGTATTTTCCAGGTTTACAGCACTGTTATAGGCAGTAAGAATACAAAGAAAATACTCCTGACATAAATGAATAAGCGAGTAATTTGAGCATATACACTTTTAACCAGCTTACCTGGTCCAATTCCTACTTTAATAATGTCTGCTCCAGACAGAAGAAGTTCTTCCACCATCTCTCCTGTTACCACATTTCCTGCCTGAAATATAGGCAAAAGCATTAGATAATGAATAAATCCACAATGATTGCAGCAGTGAACAAATGTATTTTTTCTTTCTTTCTTTCTTTCTTTCTTTCTTTCTTTCTTTCTTTCTTTCTTTCTTTCTTTC